TATAAAAAATTGAAATAAAATAGCAAGGTGATACTAATTAAATTTTGTAACAATTAATAGTTATTCTTAGCCAATTACAACCACATGTTTTCACTTTATTCTTATTTTATAAAACTACGATCCAAGTCAAATCGAGAAGAATTTTATACTACCTCCGTTCCCATTTTAACTTCCAAATGAGTTTGGCACAAAGTTTAAGATAATGGATATTGTGTGGTGGAGAGTTGTGCAGAGGAGAGAGAAAAATGTGTAAGAAATATTGTGAACCACAAATTCTTTACCAAAAAGGGAAAGTGGAAGTTTTAATTGGAACGGACGAAAAAAGAAAATTGGAAGTTTATTTAGGAACGGAGGGAGTAGCACGGAGGGTGTATCAAAATTAAAAACATATTACAAAAAACTACAATTTTGTTCAATCTCTTACAAATTTCTACATTTTATTTAATTTACTTTTTCACTTTTTTTTTAATTTCAAACTTTTATATTCTTTAACTTATTAAAAAACTAATTATTGTCATATTTTGTAACAATTTAAAAGTGTTTGATATTATTTTATATATTTCATTTCTACTATTAAGTTTTTATGCTAGTTATTCTACACGTGCGTTGCACTACAGTGAAGTATCTAAATTGAAATTTAGATGGATTATATAAAACGTTAATAAATTGAAGTACCTATTTGATAGTGAATCAATTAACCCAAAGCATTAAATAAAATAAGATGATATACTTAATAGGAAATGAAAAAATACTCTCTCCGTCCCAAATTTATCTTCATAGTTACTATTCACACAGTCAACTCAAATTACTCTTAATCTTTTACTTTATATATCAAATTTTATCAAACTTAAATTTTCTTGATCAAACTTTGTAGCGGATTTAATGTAGTTTCTGAATATGTAAATTTAATTTACTAAAAATAATCTGAGTGTGGACAGGGATCAAGTTGCTTTATCGTCAGTCAAGCATCGTAAACCGAACTACGAAGATAAATATGGGACGAAGGGAGTAATGCTAAATAGTTAATATAAACCATCATACGATGAAATAAATGTGCATGTATGTCCATCTAAAAAAACTACACATTAAATTTTTTTATACAACATTCAAAGCATACTTGGTTGGTTGTTCGTCTTTGTACATATCACAGACTTTAACGCATATGAACTTGTTATTCTCGAGACTGCCGACGTACAATTATCCATGTGTAAAAATGGGTGGCGGATTATTATGCCAACGAGTGTCATGACTTATTATTGGTCACAATAGCTAACTATTAATGAAAATTGTCTACCTAAATACTCCTAAATTGTCATCTCTCTGTAAATCTGCAATCCTTGAGTGCTATTATGCACTTCACATGTTGTCTTTCGAGAGACTTTAGGAACATCATGTTTCCCGTAAACACCATTGAAGTTTGGAAGGACAGTCATCACATAAGTAGTTGTTTGTGAGCTTTTGAACAATTTATCATTATAAAGCAACAAAATTTTCAACTCTCATATTCAAGGTTCTTCAATGGATAGAGATCATATAGAACAAAAAACACATTGCGTATCAAATGAAAATTCCACTGCCCATACATTTCTTAACAATCAGGTAAAAATATGTTGAGCATTTGGTGCTTTGGGAAAAGAAAGAAGAAGCATTTTAAATGTGAGAAAAATATATATATAAAAAAACATACCACCGTAAATATAACGTTCACCTTGAATGAAGGAATCACCACTTGAGTGCTAACGGTTTCAACAATCAACACCATTAGCTAATAGCTATAATGTCATAAATGGTATAGAGTAAATAAACCCAACTCGAATGACATGGGAAATTGTGTACACAAAGGCAACAAAAAATGAACCCCCGAAAAAGTTCAATCATCATTTTACTTTTGGTGCAAGAGATAAAAGAAGAAAAACAATAACCTATTGATACAATTACTTAGCTCCAACATTCACATTTTTGTATACATGATTCATTGACATCAACATATTATTAGGAATATAATTTTATACCACATCAAGAATTATCTTTCACAAAAAGAAACAGGTTTAAAGAGAGGCTATTGAAAAAGAAACCAAAAAGTTCGACACAAAATAACTAAGCCAAATACAACAAACCATATAGTATATACACTAATCTACTTGACTTTATATAGGTCAAAAAACTTAACAACTATCAGAAATAGTAATAGGAAACTAACTTAGATATGCCATTAAAATCTTTATATATATAAAAATGGAATCTTCAGATGCAAAACTGTTCCCGCCTTGCAAAACACTATCCACGATCTGCAAAAAATTACCTTCCTGGCTAATTTATCGTCCATTATCAATGGCCGGATTTTAAAACCGCAATGACTAGTTGAGAGTAAGTTCTTGAAAATATTTTGTAAACTTTGACTACTTTATTGAAAGTACGTGGCAGGTAGTTGAGAGTAAGTTCTTGAAAATATATTAACTTGTGGGTTTGTTTAACATATCTGAATTTTACATCTATAAAATGTGTATTTATTTTAGAAAAGTTGGCTTCAGAAAAACTAATAATAATCTCATGAAATATCCCCTTTTTATCATGTGATATTCCTATTGTACTGTTATATTAAGAAAGTATCTAAATTTTTATTTAGGAATTTAGATTTTAAAAAATCACAAATCCATAATACTTTGTCTTTCTCTACCAATTTTTGTATTCTTACATTATTTGATGTAACACCTCAATAATGATATTTATTAAATTGGAAAATGAGATATAGTATAATTTCAAATTTTATCAAAGAAGTTTTGAACTTTTATGTAATATAAGAGAGATGAATAATGTAATAGGCAAGCAGTCAAGCCTATAAGGCCGAAACAATAATTACACTTTCAAATGAGATAGTAGTATCTTTTTTTTTGTGTGAGAATAAATATAGCTTGAAATTCATTTTGGAACAAATAAACACACAATTACGGATTGCAAGCACATATACTCTTAAACTCTATACTTTAATTTATATATCAGATAACATATACTCCCTCCCTCCGTTCCTATTAAAACTTCCAAACAAGCTTGTGCATTGATAAACGTGAAAAGTGAATGTTGCAATTAAAAAAGAACGGAGGAAATATATCTCTCATATATATATCAAATGACATATATATCCCTTAACCATTTGCACAAAAGGTTACTTTATCATTTTTTGTATTTAGTTGTTCTAAATGAAATTTGAGGCATATGTTTACTTTCCCTTCGTCCCATAAAATAATTTCGGCATTGACTTGGATCACAGTTTAAGAAAGTGAGAATAAAGTGGAAATGTATGATTGTGATTGAGTAAGAAAAAGATAAATGAATGTGAGCCACACAAAATTTTCCAAAATGGGAAATGAGAACTATTTTTTGAGATAACCCAAAAAGGAAACTGAGAACTATTTTGCGGCACGGAGGGGGTAATTAATAACTCATTTTATGTTTGAGTTGAATATAACAACCCAAACATGTTTCTGTTTTTTACGATACCATACACATTTCAATTTTTCAATTTCCTTTAAACTAAATGAAAATATTCTATGCTCACATTTTTATTGGCGGTATTAAAGACTAATTAATAGAAAAAATAATATTAATAATTTAAATTAGAGTTCGAGATTTTATAAAATTAAGACTAATATTAACAATTTAGTAGCTTGCCATACTAAATGCTCTACCATGCCTTCTTCATTTATGATTATGAAAATGTTGAGTCTTCTTCACAAAACTGCTCATAGGAAGATGTGAGGTCATGTTGGAGAAATACTTATCATCTAAACTAAAAAAATGATATACTTAAAAAATTGGTTAAAAAAAGTGAAACTGGAACATGTTTACCCGATTAAAGTTTCAGTACCACTAAAACCCCTTATTGCCAATTCAGAACAGGTCCAGAACTACTCCTGCATGTGATGAATGTGTCACATAAAAATGTCTTATACCAGGCATTAAACAATGCATTGCTTAATATAAGTCAAAAATTGATGTTCCATTTCTTCATTGAAATTTAACATATTTCAACCATTCAGATTTTAGGAATCTCAGTTTAAGATCTGTCTATGCATAAAAACCAAGTGAAGACCAATGCCATTAAGTTCAGCAACTTCTGGCTGTCGGGCTGATGAATTTTGAGACCCCCCCCCCCCCCCCCCCCCCCCCCTTCCCCTGAAGATAGTAGATTAACAAAATGCAGCTTTTAAGATACAAAAGTGCATCTTTGTCACTTGCCAGAAAATCCGCAGTTTCATTCAAGAAGCATTATTATTTTTAGGGTCAATAGTTAAAACTTTACTTGGACAATCTCACAGCATTCCTTTGAGCACACTTCAAGTTGTAAAGTTAACTACACACAAGTAAGGTCAAATAGTTAATACATTTATTTAGTTCCAAGCGATTAGCATAAAAGGATACTTTGGAAAACAGAATATTTAGTTCAACAAAAGAAGATAGAAAATCCAGTATGCTAACTTTAATTCTAAAAAAACACAAACAATTAGAAGAGACACGCCTTAAATCACATAAACTGCATAAGAGCTCAATGAATTTTGTTGGCAATGAAAAGATTGATATCAACATCACATTTACGCATTCAGCTAAGCCTAAGTAGGAATTTCCGTATAATCTAAACAAACTTTAACTTGATTCTTGATTTAATAAAGAAAGAGGCATGTATATGAATTCAAATATAATTTGGGGTTACATCGTTATAGATTAAAACCAAAATAAAATTTAGACCTATATATCTTTCTTATAATGAATAACTTATATAATATGGTGAAGAGATTTCTTTAAAAAAGAACTCACTTATTTATTATTATATCACTATAAATTATTTATTCAAAAGTATATGCTACCGTATAAAATTTAATTTCATTATCATCTTTTTAGTTCATTTGTTTCTCTAATAAACCAACACACCCTTTTAAATCTTTCAACCAATACGCCCTTTTAGTTGGAGTTTAGCATTGGCAAAATGGCAAGCATGGACACTATTACCCTGAGTTAAACTTTCCATAGAAAAGTGACCTTCCAATATAGATAAAAATGCATGTTGTTTTAGGGAGAGTGGTAAAGAGAGATAACCAAAGAGAATGAGACTTACAATAGTGATTCAGACTAAACATAATTAAAAAAAATGGAAGCATGAACCTCATATTAGGAAGCTACTTCATAGAAGCGCATACGATGAAGAATATAAGTCGACAACTAATCAACATCACGCCGATGACACTTCATTACTAACTTCAATGTGTGACTATATCCATCACTGATGCCAGAAGGGATACTCTCATCTTTAAGGTGGCCACCAGCCGAGGAAACCTTCACAAGCAACTAAATGTTGAGTAGCTCGCTCAATGACTCCAAGAAGCATTAGCTTCAGAGCAGTTGAATTATGAACGTAAGCATGCATATCCAAGTTGCTCCATTCCACCACAGTAAAGAAAGTGAAAGCAGCTCTCTCTAGTCGAACACAAAATAAGCGGTACCGCAAGCCGAAGAATAGTACTTTCCTTTTGAAATTCAGAAACCAAAAACCTATTCTGAACAACACATTAATGTCATAACATTGGAAATTATAATGAAAAAATAGTGCAATGCTTTCCTCACATTTTAGATAAGAATATGCTAAAGAACATCCACTCACCTTTAAAAACCCAGAATTTCCCTCACTACAAATGCCGTGATGAGATTTGAAGTACCGGCACAATGCATCAATAAGCTGTTTGGTACTGCCACTATCTGCTTCTAGTGCTGTAAACACACTTTCAGTTGAAAATTCAGATAGTTCATTCCTTCCTTGATAATTAACTTCTATATACATCTCAAAGAGTTCCTTTCTGGCTTCACCAAGGGCAATATCAACCTTTTCATCACATATCAGCAATGATTCCAGTCTGAATTTGAAAGCTAAATTTTAAGTTGTCATCAAATAGACATTTGTAGCTAGAAAACCTTCAATCCTAATATTTGATTTCTTTGTTCACTTCATTTGATTAAAAATATTAAGCATTTCAGAGGGGAGAAACCGATTAACATCATTAAATATGAATATAAAATGTGGTCTAGAGATTCCGTATAAAAGGCATATAAATAAAAGTTTGCAAATTACAATCAATTACTTAGTAGAATAGCGGATGACCAAAATATCAGAATCAATTACTCTACAAAATAAGTGATTATCACATTCATAAAGTTTGAATGAAAGTTACCCGAAATACCCATGTAAATTGTGTAGCAACATCTGTTGTTCCTTTGAACCACTCCATTCCAGTTTCCCCTCTTGTTTGTGCTGCAACCAACACTATTTACAGATTCATATATCATTACCAATTCAACAAAATTGGAGGCAAAACGTATCCGACAGAGTAGCCAAGGAGTTTCATATGCAGTTTTGTTTATTAAAATACAAAACACATTTTATAAATGAAAATCACTTTTATATATACATATTTATTAATATGTATAAATAAAATTGATTAAGGAGGTACATATTTATGAAAGATAATTATTTTTATAGAGGTACAAAATTAAATTATTAATAACCAAATAGGACAAGTTATCATCATTTTCATTTACCCCAGTGCCGCAAAGGCTCCCACCTACGGTGGGGTAAGGGGGGTCGGATGTACGCAGTCTTACCCCTATACTAAAGCACAGAGAGACTGTTTCCGGATGACCCATAGTGAAAATCGCGTCCAAGATTGCATGGACTGACTGCTGCTCCATAACAAAGAAGCGCAGACAGTTTAGTGAGCCATTTTGCTTTATTCCATCATAATCTCAAGTCAAAAAATAATGAATCTTTGGCTCCATTGCAAATGATGGAAAAAATAGGACAAGTTATATTTTTAAATATTACGGAGTGTGTTTTCTGGACTTGATACATTAGTATTATCACTATTATGAATAATAGTTACTTTTTTAATTGATACCGCGCATATAATTATACAAGTATGATTATATATCTTATTAATGTTGACTAGGGTTGACACGTAGGGTCCGGGTTGGTGACTTGGCGAGGTGAAAGATCCTCCCTGAGTCTGTACGAAGTCATGAGTCCTGACACACATCCAAACAAACTACCCCATAGGCTACCATTTTTTCGGAAAAGAGCCCATAGACTATCAGTGAATAACCATGATAAATCTTTCATGGTTATTCTGCTTATCAGTTGAATACGCCGAAGTATCAGTAATCATACCAAGTACAGTATGTAGCATGTACTATTAACTTCAGCGATGTACTGAAAAAACTCTATATTTGTAATAAAAGAAAAGTGAACACTGATCATTTGATCAATAGCATTTTGTTTACTTTTACAACATAAACCTAAGACGCCTCTGATCCAAATCAACACATTTTGATATATGCTGGACAGGGGTCATTTGACATATACCACAAACATTGCTCAAATCTAACTGCTCCTAGTTAAACAGACAAGTTTCTCAAGGACTTTGGACATCACCCCCCAATTGTAACACTTCACCTTTATGGAGTTAATTATCTTATACTAGTATTAGTTTGGATTAGCCGAGATATCCGCCGCCATGGTTTCATTGAACACAAACTTGGGCAGAGCATCTGGACCGAACTTCTTCATTACTTCTTCCTGTGTTACAACTTACAACAGCAGGGTTGAAGATTGATAGTCGATCAACTTCTTAATTTTGGGATTATGTTAACGTGCTAAAAGAAGGTAGTAATTAATATGCAAACCTTTATAAACTCATTCTCAGCTCTCAGCTTCAGATACTCCTCTGCACTTCATCCCGGAGAGAGTGGTTATTGTTGGTCAGCGTCCCAACCGCTTTTTGTAGTTCTTCACATTCCGCCTGTTAAACAAAACATACCACAATGTTTAGTCAGAAGATGAGCTGGTTTATGTCAACAGTTTGTTCCACATCCATTAAATAAGAAATAAATAAATAACCGTATACATCTTAGAGTGCTAATTTCAAGTCATACTCCGTCATAATAGTACCAGAGCTAACTCAGGATTCATAATTATGATGTGGGTCCCCGGAAGATGTTAAAACCCATCATCAAGATGCATGAGAGGTATACATCCCTAGGGGGGTGAATTTTTTTTTAAAAAGCATGATCAAAATGCCTAGGAAACAAATATTGCTTGTGGTATAGAGGGTCATATGAAAGTCATTATAAACGGCTGAAGAAGCAAGGCCAAAGCAATTCTAAGCCGAAGAACAAGGGTGGAGAAACACTAATAACTGTTGCAAGAGATGTAGCACATTGTACAACCCATTACAAGACATCCCTTCAGGTCTCAGAAGAAGACAGAAAAAGAGAATAAGTAATAGGCATAAACAGTGTTCTCTACCACTACCCCCCCCCCCCCCCCCCCCACACACACACACACTCACAAGCACTACTTCGCAACATACAAAACTGAAAACTTCAGAACAATTATGATGACTCATTCATGTTTATTTTAAATAGTAGGAATATGTGATCTTCACATAAAGACAAGTGCATCCGCAAATCTCAATGGGAAACTATCTAAAAGCTTAAACATATGTAGCAACTGAATTCAAGGTTTTCCTCTTGTTAGATAAAATAGACTCCACTTATCAATCAGCACCCTAACGTGTCAGCTATAACATATGTAGCTAGAAGCCTAGTATGCATCTCCAGCATCCTAGCCACCATAGTTGAAATTGGAAACCTTATTTAACCATTTAAAGAGATGTAATCTCTTTCCCTTCTAATATCTTAACACAAACTAGGAGACGGAGAGTGTTGCTTAACCCTGAATAGAGGAGAAACAATCTTAAGGAGATTGTGAATTGTTTTTTAGAATTTTAATTAAAACTTTTAAAGACTTTTCTTTATATTCTGAAAAGTAATAGAAGTATTTTCTTTCAAATAGTTCGTTCATTTATGATCCTCTATCACTCCACAACGTGAAATAAAACTTCATATCTTTGCACCGTGAGCAAAGACGGTGATAATACCCAGTCCAAGAGGGTTTGTCAAACTTCAGGGCGGATTAGGTTAAGCGTGAGACACACACTCAAAGGGAAACTGTGGCTTAACAACGATGACGAACAATAAAAAGATTAATTCAGACAAATTATTTGGAGAAAGGAATAGACCTGTTTGCGTAACCTTGATCTTCTAGCTGATTCCCTGTTGGACTGTTTCCTCTTTTGTCTTTTCAGTTCACGTTCATCCTGTAAGTTAAAGGGACGTGATCCCATAATCAAAATATAATGATATGAAAAAAGAAGATTATTAATAGCACGAGCAAAATAGGACATTAAACACATTTGATTCAAGAACGCGTGCCAAGATATCATGAAGTCATCGGAAGGAGATGTTAAAAACAAAGCCTATAAAAATCACTCATTGGGGTATGATGGTATCAATGAAAGAGTTGGCATGCCAATTTAAATACACATAGAAGGTATTTTTTATGAGAGAAAGATTATTTCCACGAAAAGTTATTGGGAATAAAGTTATTCCCATGGAAAACACTAAAATAGTAAATGCATTAAAAGATTGAATTTAATCTTATAAACTTATATTTCTCATTGATATCGGACTCTTAGACTAACTTCATTGCAAGGGGTGAAAACTGAAAACCCCATATTTGAGGTTTTCACCCCAAATTAACTACAACCCAGACAAAAAATGGTATTGGAGGGTGCCAACTGGAATAGGGAAGACCTTGTGAGTGGGAGTCTGCCCGCCTCATTCACCTGGGGCCAAACCTTAGGCAGCTGACTATTGCAGGTCTTCTCCACGCGTCTGACAACTGCAGCAGGCAATGGAGGACAACAATTGGAGCATGCTGCCTTCTTGGAGTGCTGCGGCTGGTTTTTCTTGTATGACCTAGCTGCCTTGTGCAGCTGGGATAATTTTAAAAAACAATTTTTTGCAGGTAGCAATATGTTTATATGTGTTTCAATTAATTATCTTAATATTCTTTCAAACAAAATTGATTATCTTAATACTCAACAAGATATTCAGTAAGTACATAGTATTAAAAATGAAAAATTAATAATATAGCAATATAGTAAATAATGTAATATTGTTCATTTTATTGAAATTAATTTCAAATTTAACTCAAGTGTGCATTTTTAATACTTACAAAAAAACTATTCACATTTGTTATTTTTTTACATCGAAATGTTTGACTTTTTCAATCATACTCCGTAGTTATTGTTAAAAAATAAATTGTCGCATAAATTATGTGTAATAAAAAAGTAAGGATTTATGCATTTAATTAAAACAAATATGTTGAGTGAATATATTGACGGTGTTGGGTTGCAGGACAAAACTAGGAAAAAAAAGATTGACTGGGTGAATACGTATAAACCGGTGAGGAATTAGATTTTTTGACGGGTTGGGTTGCGGTTAGCCTTAAGAGATCTTTTAAGCCAAATTTATCATGCTATCTGTGACACAATATATTGCAGCATGAGCAGTTAAATAATTAGTACGTAGTATTAATATATTATCTGCCAATTCCATGGACCCAAGGCATATATAGCTCTATTCTAAATCTGCTGCCTAGACTCGCCTAGGCGCTAGGTTCCCCATCTGCCACCTATGTTATGCAAGACCCCACCTCGGTGATCTGCACCAGTCTGCCACAGTGCCACCCATTAATGCTTTTTAGAACACCTACTAATTTTAGAAACACATATCCATGGGGCTTCAATAAGTTTTCATGGCGTTATCAGTACAGACGCACCCAAAGTTAATATCCTCAGCTATTACTATATTAGACTCACCGGCATCCAATGTCCTGGCATCATTCCTTCATGCCCCATCACAGGAGTGGGAACCACAACCGGTGAGAGCATAGAAGGATTTGATTGCATTTTGTTGGCTCCAGGGGGCGCTGAAGGGTTCCACATAGTCATTCCTATGTTTAAATTAGTTACAGGAACAGAAACAACAGCACTGTTCTGTGCATGGGCGGCACCTGATTGATATGACATGGTTTAATTCAGCAATAACTTATCAAGTGAAAATTTAAAACCAACAAAAGAATCATGAATTAAATGGGTAAAAAATAAAATTACCATCAGCCAGCATCTGATCAAAGCTTCCTTTCTTTGAAGCAGATAACTCCTAAAGGAAATACATAGAGAAATAAATAACTTTTAGCAGACAACAACTAAGAAGGGAATACATAAACTGCATTAAGAGATTTCAGAAGCATACATTGTTATTGTTCTCATCACTGGGGTCTCAGTAGAGCCATCACCTCCACTACTGTGAAGAAGAACAAATCAAGAATAAACATGTACAAAATGATTATCAACCAAACGTATCTTTGAATCTTGAATATGCTACAAAAAGGGAACAAGTGACATGGAAAGTTGATTTTTTATGCTTTGTTACTATGGATTATGGTGCAAAGGAAAAGGAAATACAATAACTTTACATTCATCTTTATATACATTATAGTTTCAGTCTTTTTACATTTAAATATAAACAAATAAAATGTTTCTCTTAGTTATAGATTATCTTTAGTTTTCCCGTATATCTTCATTCCTTCCAAATTTTCCTCAATATTATCCTTCTTAATATCAATCCCTAGTATATTCCTGCAGATCGAAATGGACCCAAAGAAGCACCAAAAAAAGGATTAAAAGGAAGATTGATGCCAATCTACTTCAAAACACCTTGGGGTGGTACCATCACATCCCGAGCCAGAAACTTCTTTTGGGATGTCTCCTGCCTTGTTACCAGACTTTCTATTAGTTCTTTTCCCAGAAGCTTTTCTTTTCCCTTTGGATGCTTTTCTATTAAGCCAAAGAAAGATTATAGATAGTTGTCCAAAATGGGCAGTAGTATTTATATCATTCGTGGGTGCGGCTAACTCCCCATGAGGTAATTAAATTAATATTCTTATAATATGAAATTTCATATCAATAGACACCTGTCGTTGTTTATGTCTGGGATTGGAACAAATTCTAAAAATTAAAAATCAGGAATATAAAATATTCGCTACTCACTCGGATTTTTCCATTTTCCTGCATTTGACTTGGGACCTACCAAAAAGTGAAAAATAGGAATCCTATCAAAAAGATGGAGCACACGAACATCATGTCAAGCTAAAGACAACCCATTCCCTTACTCAACATATCAAATAGGCTCTAGTATTTGGAGTCCATTTTGACTATTGAAAATATTCAGAAAAGAAAGTAGGGAGGGAAATAAAATGGAATTTTGTAATGAAAAATAATTGGAGAAATAGACTCGAACTCAAGAAATTATTTTGATAGTTGTTCAAACTCATTTAGATATTTATTATTATCTATACAAACTAGGAAACTTAAATGCATGCAAGCTTTAAAGATAATTGACCATACTTTTTTTTGTATTTTCAAGAGCTAAAGCCAAACATAATAAAATAACTTTCTTGAGCACTTGTTTCCTTTCCCTAGCATTTTCAGATATCCAAACATATCCATGAACATAAAAAATTGAAGGGAAAAGAAATAAATACTACGAAAAATAACCTTTGCTGTTTGGCTTTTACCTTAAAAATATAAATGAAAATCAAATTTGATTACAATTCAGAATTTTGACATACATATACTTTTCCTAGTCTTTATATAATAATAAATATATAAATAAAAAGGGTTGGAAAAAAACTCAAATTTATTGAAGGAGTCTGAAGCAATTTATTATTTTTCCACAATTTTATTTCTCTAAAATCCCTCCAAAACTTTCCTCCCTATTAGAGAATCTTGATTACCATTGCCATATTTGGATGCGTATAGACGGCCCCGGGAGGATACATAGCAGGATATGGAACAGGACTCCCATAAGGCGGCATTAGAGGATACTATAGAAAAAATATCACACAAGCAAATTACGCGTTACTCCCTCCATCTAAAGCCATTGAAGAAGTGTGATGTGTATGTCTAGTATGTACTCCCCAGTCACATTTCAAGATTCCCATACACTATTAGCATGGTCAACGAAACTATAGTTTAATACCTAATTTTATATACTTCCTCCGTTCTTTTTTAATTGCAACAGTCCACTTTTCACGTTTGTCGATGCACAAGTTTGACCATTAATATCTTTTATTCCTTATTAGTAAGAAAAATCACATTTTGAAAATTTAAAATGAGAGGAACTTAACAATATTTTTCAAGAATTTAATTTATAATACATCCATCATTTTCATTTACCCCAGTGCCGAAAAGGCTCCCACCTACGGTGGGGTAAGGGGGGTCGGATGTACGCAGTCTTACCCCTGTACATTAATACATTAATAAATTAAATTTTTCCATCATTTGCAATGGAACCAAAGATTCACTATTTTTTGGCTTGAGAATATGTTGGAATAAAGCAAAATGGCTCACTAAACTGTCAGCGCTTCTTTAGTGTGAAGCAACAGTCAATCCATGTATTTTTCAACGGGATTTTCACTATGGGTCATTCGGAAACAGTCACTCTGTGCTTTAGTAGGTGGGAGCCTTTGCGGCACTGGGGTAATGATGATGATGATGATTAATAAATTAAATGTAGTCAAAGTAGAATATGTGAATAGTGCAAAATCACCAATGTTGCAACTAAAAGAAAACGGAGGTAGTATTTAATTTTAATCATTTTCAATTTTATCTTTTGCAATTCAGTAGAATTTCTTGCATAGTTTCTGAATATGTAAATTTTAATGATAAAAAATTATCAAGGAACGATGTGCTTTATCATCACTCAATCATCGTAAACCACACAGAAAACTTTGAAATGAAATGGAGGGAGTAACAATTAAATAATGACTTGAATAGACAAAAAATACTTGGCCTCCCCACATATAGGGATGGGGAGCATGAGAAACATGTGATGGGAAGAAGGGAGGTGTATCACCACCTGGACAAACACAAAAGTGAAAAAAATTATAATGTTAGATTAGATGACTTAGATCCATTGACTTGGCTTAACATCAATAGGACTACTCATTGTCAAACCGGATGAGTGCTCGGAAGAGAGCTTGTCCAATCAGGATATAAAGACACAGCTGGTGTCTCCTGCAAATTGAAAAGAAAAAGATATAATTATTAATAGTAGAAATCAAGAAATCATGTGTGTGTATACACTTAAAAATGGAAATATATCTTTCTGCCACCAAAATAACATGTTTGGTTGTGGAATTGAGGTACTTAAATAAACACAGCAAGGTACAACTCTTAAGGTCATGGAATCCTACATGGAGACCTATTCATAAGCAGAAAAATCATAATAAGCGGATTTTGACTTACTAATTTAGTTGAAATGGATTTTAGCAAACATTTTTCCATTCGAGATATACGCCATAGTGACATAAAGCCTCATAACATTTACGAAATGGGCTCTTATTTTGCCACTTGTTTGGTTTATTTACTAAATTGGCTTTTGACAGTGCTCCATTTTTTTCGTTTATTTATAATTCTAAGCCGGAGATAAATCATTTCCGATTTATCAAGAGAAGCAGAAGAGAAATAGATGCAAGAAACAATGGGCTTACGGTTATAATATTACTCCCATAGTCCCAATAGTGTAATTTATAAGGCAAATAGTAGTGAGGGCAGTAAATGCAGTTGGCCCCGGGGGACACGTGGAGAAACACAGTACGCGGCGTGGTTGAAACAAGGAGCGGGCAGGCGTAAAACAAATAGGACACGCGGTGATATATGTATGGTGGAAGTCACAGCGAGATATATATGGTGAAACGCGCAGTGAGACACGAATGGTGGGACGTGCAGCAAGATACGTATGGTGGGACGCGCGGCGAGATACATATGGTGGGATGCGCGGTGAGATACATATGGTGGGATGCGCGGTGAGATACATATGATGGGACACACGGTGAGATACTAAATGGGCTCCTATTTTGCCACTAATATTATCATATTGAACTTGTAACTTTATTGTGGCAAATTACATACGTAGTATAAAATTAGCTCCATTATGAAATACGTGTACTTTGGGGAGATTTTTAAAGCACACACTCCTTTTTGGGACATATTGAGTAGCAAACAAAATGAAAGAACACCTGAGCTGATGATTTAGGTTTAGAAGATTTTGGTGGTGTTTTATCTTCTTCCTCTGACCCCATTCACTACTTGACGCCTTTATAATGATTGTCCAAGTGAAGCTCTTTCCGTCCAAATGAAATACTAGACGAACCTGGAAATATTAGGATGGTCAATGTATAGCTGCAAAAGGCAATTATTTTTAATAAATAGAAACACCTGTACTTCAATACCCATTCAAAACCTACTTATTGTGCTCTAAGTGAAAAATATGGTGATAAATAAATTTTCACGTTTTATAATGTATAGGATGACAAAGATGCTTCATGACTTAGGTTGGGAAAACAACACATTTAAGTACACGATAGTGATAAGAATGTCATCGTTGACACCACCATAATGTTGTCCGATACTATATTTGTCCAAATTTAGTGGCTCAAGATCATCCATACTTCATGTTATGTCCCTTGTCCCAAATTTAATGGACAGGGGTAGTAACTCGTAATTAGTAAAGAAGGATACTTATCCACACAAGGTGGGAAAAGTGAAGACATGAAGAGAAGAATCCAAGAAAGTTATGACCCTTGAAAACACTACACACTTCATAAATACGTGAAGCATTGTCAATTGGTAGATAACCTTCTTGTTGCAACTTTCTAAAGAAAGAAGAGTAAAGGTCAAACAATCAACCGAAAAGGGAAAAAATAAATATTCGAGGATTTTGCAGATGTTTTAAACAGAAACTACAAGTTATTAATGCTTCATTTGCTATGCAATATTAATTGCAGAAAATAGTAGTGTATGACCCAATAAAACCAAAGGAAGATGCACAAAAGATATTAAAATTGTAATTTTACAATCCAGGGTGGATTTTAAGACTCTATTGAAGCAAGACTCTACACAATCCAGGGTGGATCATCATAGAGGCGAGTAAGAGCGAAGGCCCACACAGAGAATTTTGGAAAAAGTTATTAGATTTAGAGATACCTTAGTCTTCAATTCATATGCCAAAGATGACAATTTCATCATAGTTCCTAATTGACAAATTCAGTCTTCAACTAATACAGGCCCTCAGTGTTCAACTAATACACTGGGAGTCCATACTTGCAGCCTGACACATGGGGGATGTTTGAAATTTTTATAATTAAATATAAGTATCCTTGAAGACAGCATAATTTTGAGAGTAACTTCTAACCTATGTGAAGTTAACAGGTGATCCGACTTTATCCACCCTCATAGATAAAAACTGGGTACTCTCTTTCAATGAGCTAAACAAGCATACCATATGAAACAAAATGGGATCACGATGTCCTTTTGAAAGCCACGACAACATAGAGCGAGAAAAGGATATGGTCAATGGGTATTTCATTTGTAGAGAAAATCATGACAACTGAAAATTAATGAATTTGAAGGCCTCATTAATTTCTTAGTTATAAAAATATTTCTATTCCCTACAACTTTCACTCTTCAATTGGAAAACAAAGTTTTAAGAGCATGCCTACAAGATCTCGTCCAAGTCTCATTAGGGAAGACTACGAGAACTCGAGAAGGTATGGTGGTGAAAGAAAAAAGTTTCTCAAACTTGAAGAGAAGAATGAATAACAAGAAACTAGGCTTGTCATTTCATAAGCACACGTTTATTAAGTTCTACTATTCAACAATTCTTAACAACATTGTGAATTTTACATTATTCACATACTTAGTTTTTTTAATGGATCACTATTCACATACTTTACGTTGACGGCATTTAATTTTTTTTAATGTATTAAAAAAATCTTATTATGAAAAATATTACTCCGCTTATTGTCTCAACATAAACTTTCAAAAATGATTTTTAAAATTTTTACTAATAAGAGATTATTTATTTAATGGTAAAAGTCTTGTGTTGGAAATTGTAAAAGTCAAACGGTTGCAACTAAATAAGACGTAGCTAGTATGAAACTAAGATGAAACAAACATCTTTCTTGCACCTCATGTAACCTCGTTGACGCGGATGCAACAACAACATCTGAGCCTTATTTCCAAAAGATTTTGGGGATGCGGATAAGTGGAGAAATTTCTAGGAGCATGCTGGTGTGCTCCATAAGGAGCACAAGCCACTGAGCAGAATGCAGAGACCTCATTTATGTGACACTCTTTTGTAAGAGATGCTTACATCCTGCTCAGCCAGTGCAGCTAACTCAGCAGAATGCTGACATACTCATTGAAATTCTCATTGAAAAGTGTTCCCGACCAATAGGCGTCAAGTCTATCGGCGTACTCTCCAAGTAAATGGAAAAACTATGTTCCATTTTTAGTAAAATTGTGTTCCTTTTTTGAAAAAAAACTCATTTATGTCCATTCTGATTTATATTTTTTTGGAAAAAGAAATTATCTATCTGCTGAAAAGCCGTAAGGGTTTCCGAACTCAGAACCCTCCGAAGTAGGAAATCGCAAAATATTTACATTAAAAAATCATTTCAAGTACATTGTATGTTGATGTAGTGATTAGTCAGCTCTGCCCAGTCTGAAGCTCTTTAAATGCTTATGATTCCCATGCAATTTTCTCAAACAGTCGTTAAAAAGCAACAAGTTACTTGCACCAGAACAGTCATTCATACACATTTTCTTAGTTTATAAAATTGGATTTCGTAATTCTTACCCAGACGCCATGGTAGACAGAAGGGAGAAAAGGAGTTTAGAAATAGATTCCTGCAGAAAAGAAAATCCACATGCTCATATAAAGAAATTGCACCAAAAGCAAAAAAAACGCACTTCCATACAGCTAAAAGTTGTTGCAACTTGCAACATTAGATTTCGTCAGAATTAATGAGAAATTGATCTAATTGTAAGGTTTCCACTAGATTCCTGCAAGACATCAACCATGTTAAAATTAATCCAATTAGAATTCCATCATAAACGCATCAGCTAAACTCGGCACCCTCTGGTATTTGTTTGTTTCAGCCAGTAAATTGATTGAATTGTAAGGTTTCCATTAAATTCCTGCAAGAGCTCAACCATGTTGTTTCAGCCAAAAGAAAGCGAAAACAACATTACTTCTAGACGTAATTCCCTGACAAACTGCTTAATTTTTGAGAAAAAACAGAGAAAAGAGGGGGATAAATGCATGCCAGTATGGGAGCTAAAGAGAAAAGGAGAAAAAGGAGAGGAGTGACGAACCAGGGGAAAGTGAGGGGGAGAAAGAGGAGTCCAACTCTGCTCCCTCTGGTTTCCTGCTTTGTTTCGTTACTTTCTTTTAGACAGAGCTCCATTTTTTTCGTTACTTTATTATTTTTAATTCTAATATAAGCAGGATAGAGAAATCGCTTCCGATGTATCAACAGAAGAAGAGAAATGGATGGAAGACACAATGGGCTTTAAGATTATACTCCCTCCGTCTTAAATGTTTGTCACACTTTGACTTCACAAGTTTTAAGGAGATGAATTTGACTTTACACTGTAGCGACACTGTTTCACACTGTAACGGCACTGTTTGACACTGTTTGGCACTGTTTGACACTGTTTGGTATAAATTTGTTTACCAAATAAGGAAGTTTAAAAAGTATGACAAACATTTTGGGACATCCGTTTCGGGAAAGTGTGACAAACATTTAGGGACGGAAGGAGTAATAACTTGGTCCAAAAGGTGGAATCTCCCACCCCAGGAGCCCCACCTTGACCCGACAGGACGGTGAGAAGGTTAATCACGATAGTCAGGATGTTTTTACTTGGACTGTAATTTGTTGGTCTGGTCTGATCTGATCTGGCCTGATCTGGTCTGGTCTGGTCTGAACTGGTCTTGTCTGGACTGATCTGGTCTGATCTGATCTGGTCTGATCTGATCTGGTCTGGGATGAATTACAGTCCAAGTAAAAACATCCTCAGTCAGAAAAGTGGTGGTAGACGTTATACACATACGCACTAGAGGTCCAGCCTTATTTCAGGTTCTGTAACCTCCACACGGCCGCTGCAGATTTCAAACCTTGATCACTTGGTCCAATTTTCCCACCACTTGACCAACTGAGCTACTCGTGCGGGTTTAAGGTTATAATACCACTCTCATACCAGTAGTGTAATTTATAAGCTAAATAGTACTCAGGGCAGTAAATGGAGTGGGACCCGTGAGACACGCAGAGAAACACACTACGCGGCGTGGTTGAAACTGGTAGCGGGTAGGCGTAAAACAAATAGGACATGCGGTGATATATGTATGGTGGAAGTCGCGGTGAGATACATATGGTGGAACGCATGGTGAGATACATATGGTGGAACGTGCGGTGAGATAAATATGGGGGGGTGCGCGTTGAGATATATAAAGTGCGACACGCGTTGAGATATATAAAGTGAGAAATGCGGTGAGACAGAGAATACGATGTGTAAAGATTGAGATAAGCAACGGTATACGACGTATATATCTCCAATTTTCTATAGATATGAAGTGTTTACAAGATATAAAAATCAAATTGAACCATGACACTTTATTTTAATGTATAAATCTTCAAACTTTCGCCTAGCCTAAGCCATTGTGTGTAGGTGCACCGTGCACATACCTTCTAGAACTGTCTGCGATTTGAATCAAAAATGGAATCGAATCGTCGGCCGCGTTTCCAACTTTTGGAAAATCAGAATCGGAACCGCACAGTACCGATTCCAAAACCGGCAGTTCCGATTTTATATTTCAGTTCCAATTTTTTTATATATATATTTAACATTCATTTAATTTATTAAAAATAAAGTAGATGATAAGTTATAAGATTATTTGAATGAAAGAAGTCCCAAAAATCGTTAATATAGTTAATTATTATTTTTAACTAAGTACAATAATTGGATACATATTAACAAATTAGTTTTTTAATAAATCTCTAAGTAGTTAGAAATTGGGAGAATTCCCCAAATAGGACTAAAGGAAACTTTAATTGCCAAAATAGTAATGTAACTTAAAAATTCTCTAAAGAGGACTAGCTTTCCAATTTACCCTTGCTTTGTTTTTAATACAATTCATATTTTATTAATAATTAAAGTATAAAAGTAATAACATAACTTTATTTTTACTAAAAATGTAAAAAAAAATGAACAAATATTAAATAAGAATAAAAAAAATACGAAAAAAAATATAAATTAAAAAACTTTAAAAATTAAAATAAAATGGATAAAAATGAAAAAAAATAAAAAAAAAAAGTATGCAGACCTATGTTTCCGCCTGAGCAACCTCCCAGCTTCATCAGCTCTGATCACCGAGAAAAAATGCCAACGCGTGTCAGAAATGCTATCTTGATGGCAGTTTTAGATAAAAATTGACATTTTCAGAATAAAAATGACGTCTAAATGGCATTTTCAGAGAAAAAATTGTAGTTTTTACACAAAATAAATTTTTTTAGCTGATCAGATGTAACATGGTTGAGCAGTGGCCGAGACCGTGGGAAATACCTCCGTATATTTTTATATTCCTTAAGGTGTTTTAACTATTTTTATTTATTTTCAAAGTTTTTCATTTTTTTGAAAAAAATAATATTTTTTGTAAGTTTTGTTATTATTTTTAAATATTTTTTTAAAAAATAAATTTTTATATATTTTTATGATTTTTCGTATAAGTTAAATTATTTTTTATCACTTTTTTGTATTTATTACAAACTAAAATATGATTATCCTATTAAGTTATGGTAAGGGTGTAATATGAAGATAGGATAGACTTTAATCCTATTTTGGGAAGATAAATAACATAATTATGTTTGCGCATTTAGGGATTAGTTCAGTTCTAGGTAGGGCTGTTATCTTCTAAAAATTAGTTAGTGCAAATTGAGGAGTTAGTAATTTTAAAGAACTTTAGTAATTTGTAAATTATGTATTCTTATGAATGTTATTTGAAATATTTAAGTATGATAACTATTAATGACTAAAAATTATGATGTACTAATTAATAATCATTATTTTTTGTTTTTATTGTTTTTACAACAACTAGATCAAGAAACAATTGGCTTACGGTTATAATACCACTCCCATAGTACCAGTAGTGTAATTTATAAGCCAAATAGTAGTCAGGGCATTAAATGCGGTGGGACCCGTGAGACACGCGGAGAAACACACTATGCGGCGTGGTTGAAACTGGTAGCGGGCAGGCGTAAAACAAATAGGACACGCGGTGATATATGAATGGTGGAAGTTGCGGCGAGATACATATGGTGGAACGCATGGTGAGATACATATGGTGGAACGTGCGGTGAGATAAATATGGTGGGATGCACGGTGAGATATATAAAGTGAGACACACGGTGACACTAGAGAATGTGATGTGTTTGCATTAACATCATAGAAAATAAGTTGATAAATAAGTGGTAAAAAGAACATAGATATGTGTCATGCATTAACATCATAGAAAATAAGCTCATAAATAAGTGGTAAAAAGAACATAGATATGTGTCATGCATTAACTTCATAGAAAATAAGCTGATAAATAAGTGGTAAAAAGAACATAGATATGTGTCATGCATTAACATCATAGAAAATAAGCTGATAAATAAGTGGTAAAAAGAACATAGATATGTGTCATGCATTAACTGTTGGAAAAATGTGTTAAAAATTGCATTAAATGGTCATTTTGGGGCAATTATTTGAGTGGGGTCCACTTCCGATTTGGGTCGGGTCAAAGTGGTTTCGGATTGTCCTTGTTAAGGGCTACAATTCGATATATGGTACGCTCAAAACGGATAACGGGTGAATGAGAAATTGATTCTCGAAGTTCGCTCGTTGAAATGGAAAAACTGGGAAAATGATGAGTTTCTAGTGTGTTTTATCCCACACCGAAAAACTCAAGGGATTTTCACCCCCTTTTAAAGGGAAGCCTCTTTTAAGGAGTTAAGATTCCTAAAGGGAAAGGCTCTCTCTTACGCGCAGGGGGGGTGCTGATCAAATCCCGAAACGGAGAAGAAAAACCACGACTCGTGTGCGCGAGCGACCTGAAGATGTATTTCCATGCAAGTCCAACGAAGGGTCTAGCACGTCAAAACGAACATTTGACGTAGCTATTGAAAATTCTAGCGAGGGATCCGAAGAAGAACCCGAACCCAGACCGTAGCAAACGTGCTAGAGTCGAAAAATCCTTCGGACCGGATTTTCTCACCTACCTGGTAGAATTTGAATCGGATATTCTAACATGTATGGTAGAAAATGAACCGGATTTTCTAACATGTTTGGTAGAAAATGAGCCACGGACTTATACGGAAGTCGTGACGTCTACTGAAGGTCCTATGTGGAAAGAAGCCATCAAAAGTGAGGTGGACTCTATCCTAAAAAATCACACGTGGGAATTGGTTGATCTCCCTCCGGGATGTAAACCTTTGGGATCCAAGTGGATTTTTAAACGTAAAATGAAACCAGACGGTTCCATTGATAAGTATAAGGCCAGACTTGTAATCAAGGGATACAAGCAACGCGAGGGCCATGATTACTTTGACACGTATTCTCCCGTGACGAGAATAAATTCCATTAGGATGATACTAGCGATTGCCGCTTTGCGGAATTTGGAAGTTCATCAAATGGACGTAAAAACCGCTTTTCTAAATGGCGATATAGACGAAGAAATCTATATGGAACAACCCGAGGGTTTTCGTGTTCCAAGCCAAGAAAAGAAGGTTTGTAAATTAATTAAATCATTGTATGGATTGAAACAAGCCCCTAAACAGTGGCACGAAAAGTTCGATCATGCAATGTTAATTAATGAGTTTAAGATAAACGAAAGTGACAAATGCATCTATGTGAAAAGCACGGTAGACGGCTATGTCATTTTATGTTTATACGTGGATGATATACTCATCGTGGGTAGCAATAATCTAATGATTAATTCTACCAAAAGCATGTTAAATTCTAAATTTGACATGAAGGATATGGGGCTGGCCGATTTAATCCTTGGGATTAAAATAATTAGAGGACCTGACGGTCTAACGCTAAGCCAATCCCATTATGTTGATAAAATCCTTACTAAATTTAATAAGGATGATTATCAAGAGGCAAGGACGCCATTAGATAAAAACACTCATCTTACCAAAAATCGTGGAGAGTGTATTTCTCAAGTAGAATACGCTAGGATTATTGGAAGTTTGATGTATCTAATGAGTTGTACCAGGCCTGATATTACCTTTGTGGTTAGTAAGCTAAGTAGATATACTAGCAACCCCGGTGATGAACACTGGAAGGCAATAATACGGGTTTTGAGGTATTTACGTAAAACCCAAAACCTTGGACTGCACTATGGAAGATATCCAGCTGTACTTGAAGGGTATAGCGACGCTAGTTGGATATCCGACATAAAGGACTCTAA